GAATTTTCTTGGTTTTTTGGTTTTGTTACAGTTACAGACCTTCCTGAGCCGAGGGATAGCGCGGTCTGTACCAATTCTTCGCAAAATATGGAAAACTGGTGTTCAGAAGGGAACACTGCTTGATGCACTAAACCCAGAAGCCTTCCACCAGCGCTCTGAGCTTTCACTTTGAACTTTTTTCTCTATGAACAGCTTAGAAATGCTGCACAGAGATTAGGGACTAGCCCAGAGCCGGTGTGAGCTCCAGCCAAAACCAATGTTTCAGCTGTTTCACAGTTGGCACAGAAAACAGCGTGGGAAGAATCAGCTGCTGACCTGGTCTTCTCTGGACAACCTTGAGCAGAATACTGTCAGAGGGAGGTGGGTTAGCCAGCAAGTCTCTCTCTCTGCTGATTTTTAGCTTTTAATATTGCCAGGTCTGCATGTAGTCTCTGTCTTGACTTCTTACATTTTGGTTTAAGAAAAATATTCCTAAAGCACCATTAAGGAGGAAGAAAAACAAAGCAATGAGTCTCATAAATATAAATGGATTTTTTTTCAATACGATAAAAATGGGCAGCGTTTTAAAGTATTACAAGCCAAAGCTCTTTTCCTGGATACAGTTTGAAATCTTTTACCAAAGTCTTTTCACATAAATTACAAAATTATCTGTATGAAACTGGGAGATGGTATTTAGGGTACAGGAATTTATAGCTAGCTTGTCGTAAGCCTTTTCTGCACTGTTTGGACATGAAACCACGTGAGCTGTTCCCACTCTTGTCATCCTTTTTATTAACCAGCCACCAAACCCATCATCTTTGTGAGCATTGAACCATCCCTCTCCCGAATCTGGCGGCAGGGTCAGCGGATCTGAAAATCATCCTTTAGCCTGTTCCAGGCTCTCTTGGTCTTGTCTGTTTGCAGAAATTGTAGCTGATGTTAAATCAGCTTAAAATGAGCCTCCTGTGCGTTGCCCTGTGGCTCTAGCAAGCACAAGCACACCCAGGATGTATAGATCAGGGTGTGGATTTTATCTACAGATGGTTTTCCGATCAGGCTTTTCACCAGCGATGCTGTCACAGGGCTGAACTCAACATACTCATCCTCTGAGCCCGTAAATCGCAGGTAACAAAAAATCTCCAACCCCACTTATTCTGAAAAAAAAGCCGTTTTTCTCCCCAAACGGTGCACGTCAAAGCAGGGAGCGCACAGGAGCAGGATCCTGGTTTTTCTTGGGATGGAGCGGATCACCTCAGGAGACCTTTCCGCTGCGACTGTGCCCAGCGAGGCTGAGCCCGGCGGGGACGGAGGAGCAGCCCAGCGATGCAGGCGAAAGGCCGGAGCGGCGTATCGGTTTTCCAAATCAATCCCCACTCTCCCGGAGACCTTCCTGACCCCGCAGCTAATGAGCGGCACGTCCTCAAACAGCACCGCTGAAGGCAGCCGGAGCCGGATCTCTCCTCTCCATGGGCACGACCTGGCTCTGAACTACTTGGGGAGAAATCCCAGTTTCTTTGTGTGCCGAAATGATCAGTTCTCAGTGCTGCTGTAAGAAATCAGGAACGCTGGAAGGGTGCCTGCAAGCCAAGGATGAGGTTAAAATGCTGAAAATTGGGTTTTTCATCTCATGGGCTGCTGCTGCTGGGTCTCTGCAGACCACTGCGACCAGCCCGTGTAATTTGTCAGCAGGTTTGGATCTGTTGTGTAGGAGCTTCGCGCCTCCATCACAAGGTGGTTTGGTTTTAGCGTTCTGCAAATTAAAAAGAAAATAATAATTGAAAAAAAATTCAGAGTCAGAGCCTGGAGAATACACTGATGTAATTCCTTTGGCTTCATACAAGAAGACTTGAGCTGAGGACAGACGTTCCCAAATTCAGAGTTTGCTTCCCAGAGCGTGTGGTTTGGACTTTTATAATTTTCATCTTTAATTTTTGCTTTCTGCAGCATTGAGAAAGAATAGGATGGCGGCGTCTAGTGTTGGGTTGGGCAGGGAAATACTTCACCATCGTGGGTTTTTTTCCAAACAGTTGGAACAAACAGGTTTTTTTTCCAAACAGTTGCCTCTCTGCATGCGGAACAAGAGAAAAACGCTTCCGAGGAGAACTGGTGAGCAACAGAAAACACATCCTGAGGGTTTTTTCCTGCGTATCCAACTTCTCGCACGCTGCACAACCCCGGGGTTTGCTGTGATCAGAAAACAGGCGCGGGGCAGTGCTGTCAGCGCTCTAATGTCTTGTTCCTTCTCTCCGCAGGGAGGAGCGGTGCTGGGGGGCATCCCGTACCGACGGCCCAATCGTCCCAGGCCCGCGGCCAATCTCTCGGAAGAAGAAACCAAAAGAATCGCCAGGATCTTCTCTGCCCAGCTCTCCAAGAAGGAATAGAGGGAGCGAGCGAGAGGCCGGCCGCAGCGGCTCCTTCCCAAGCCACAGCCGGACACATCGGCAAAGACCGGGTCCTCCGGGAAGAGGAGATGGAAGCTGTAGGTTTCAGGCTCTGATTTTTTAATTTGCCTAATTGGTATCTCGTTAGCGGGACATAAAGCCCGGTGGTCAACCAAGAGGTCGCGTGTCTTGCGAGGACAGGTCTCCGATGAGACTCTCCGCTTCGGATAACCGGTGGGATGTTACCTGGTCTCCAGATTCTCAATTTCTCAGATTTATTAATGAGAAATCTCTCTAATTAACCTTTTTTATTTTTTGAGTAAACACAAAGCAGCCCATTTTCAGACGGCTCCTTTTTCTTCAACCAAAGGATGGAGAACATTAGAAATTTGCCGTCCCAGAGAACTGTCGCCTCCCTGCCGGCGTGCACTGTGGGTGGGGAGGGAAGATGAGCTTCCTCCCCAGTGGCCTTTCAAAAATAGGAGAATTTTCTGATTCTAGAGGAATTTATGTGCCCAAGATGCTTCTGTAAATACCGGACAATGATACTGTAAAATACTCGTGTGTGTACAAAAGGGTTTTACTAAAAATATAGAACTTTTCTAAATTATTTTTGTACATTTTTATGCCGGGTACCTTTTGGATAACGGACTTTGCTGCAAACCGAGCCGAGTTATTTTTGTACTGCTCTGCACTGTTGGTGTTTCAATAAAAATTCCCCTGGTTCCTTGTCGTCTGGTGCAAAGTGTCACGAGCCTGTCGTTAACAGGTGGATGGGACTCCTTCTCCCCTGGGATCCTCCAGCGACAGCGGGAGAGGACATCCTAAAAATGTTTCCTGGAAGGTGCTGTGCCTGGGGGCACGCGTAAAGGTCGCAGCTTTGCAAAGTAATTGAATATCCCCCTGTGGAACGAGTTGGACCGCAGAGGCGAGCGAATATTCTGAATTAATCTTTGAATTCAGGATTTAAGAGACCTGAAGTGTCAGCATCCCTTTTTTCCTCCCACCTCTGTGCTTTTGGGGTTTTTTTGCCCTGTAAACATGCCCCCTTTCCCTGCCGTCGCTTTGGAAACAAATGTGGTGCCGAATCCCATCCCGCAATTTTCCCTGCGAAAACAGGGCTTCCTTCTCCCGCTGCTGGTCCCGGTGGCATCCTAAAAAAATCCTCCTTGCTGGAAAAGGTGACAATGTTGATGCTGAGTTAGTCCTCAAACATTTTTTTCCTCTTGTGTTTAGGTCCGCAGCGGAGCACGGTCCATCCAGCCAGGAAAACGGGACAGCAGCGAGCCGGAGACGGGCGCCAGCGCAGGACAAGTTGCCAGGAGCCGGATCCCCGGAGCAAAGGTGGCTTTAGGGTGTCAACCCAGCTCAAAATCCCTCTTGGGTGCTCATGGGGAAGAGCAGAGGCTTTCCGTACATCCATCCTTCGCCAGCACTTCCCTTTGGGGTTTGTGTTAAATAGTTCAAAGGGATAAATAAGCTGAGTTTTAAGAAAATGGAGAAAAAGGAGCATTTTTTGAGCTGCCACCCCACCTTTGTCCTCTCGGGGGGTGGGCACGCTCCGAAGGGCAGTGAGATTTTCGAACCCAGGAGGGATTTACCTCCGAGCCGCTCGCGTGGCCCCGGCTCTCGGGCTGCTCCGCGTGAGCTCGGGGAACATGTTCCACCATGCAGAGGAAATCCCGCCAGTAAACAAGCTGAGCAGCTGCTCCAGGGATTAATTACGGCTGCGTGGGCCCGTGTTCCGTTAATTACGGCTGCGTGGGCTTGTGCCAGGGCCAAAAGCGTCCGACCTGCCCCGTGGGGGGAGCGCTCGGGGCTGCTCTGCTCCCAAACCGCTCGCTCTTACAGTGTTTTCTGCGTCTTGTCCTTCCCCGAGCACGTTTAGGTTAAAAACACAAATTATTCCCCCATCCCTGAGGTCCCAGCGGCTGCCAAACAGCCAAGACCCCGTTCCCGGCTGCAAAGTTTTGTTCCCATGGGTGCTGGGGGTCTGGGCAGGGCCCCCCACCCATGTGTGAGCCTTGGGGGGGGGCCGAGGGTTGAAATGCCCCCACCCCGTCATGGGTGCTGGGTGTCCCCGTTCTCATCTGCTCAAATGCCACTGGGGGAACTGGGTTTCGATGTCACCTGATCCCCGCAGCCACTGGAATGTCCCATGTCCCCCCCCCAGTCCCGGGGGCTGTATAAGGGGTTCCGGCTTGCAGAGAGGGATGTGAGGCCGGAGTTGGGACACGGTGCCCAGGTCCCTACGGTGAGGACACAGGGGACCCAGCAGGTCACCCCGGGGGTTGTGCTCTCCTCAAGCACCCCTGGTTTGGGGTGGGGGGGTGCTGGTGAAGCCCATGCCAGCCCTGGGCTGAGCAAGGCAGCCCCGTGCCTCAGTTTCCCCAGGGCTGCAGGCAAGGAAACGGGGCAACATTTGGCTTTTGGGGTTATCTGAAGCCAGCGAGAGCCACCCTGGCACCTTGTCACCTCTGTCCCTAAACCAGCCACCTTCTTGATGCCTTGTCTGATGCAGCACTCCTCTCCCCTCACTTTCCTTCCAGCCCCTCCACCATCATGGTGGGTCTGAAGCCCCCCGAGGTGCCCCCAACAGCCACCGTGAAGTTAC